GCAGTGGGCTCCATGCAAAATTCATCAAAAGAGATACATATCTTAGGCTTTTTTTTAGGACTTATTTTTGACTCGCACAATTGTATTTGTTGAAGATGATTGCTAATGCTTGGTGCAACATTGGATTTGTTCTCCATCCACATCCAGTTTACTTTTATCCTCTTCGTCAGACGTTTTTCCTCCCGAACACCAGCAGGAAAACGAAGAATTCCGGTGTTTATTTACAACGCCTTGCGAGGAGGGAACAAGTTTGCAGCGACACGGCACGAAAACAATGATGCTCCATCTTTTGTGGCGTAGCGAGCAAGTTTCTGTCAGGAGAGAAGGCGACAAAAATATAAGTAAAGCAAGACAAAACAAAATTACAGAGCGTCAAGGACAGAAATAACCAAGACACCCTCTCAACAACAGAAGATAAACAGGAATAAAGAAATGAATAGTTGGCAAAAGGGATCAATCAATAAATCACTGTGCGTATGGACAGCCAGGTAAATGCATAAACTAATTTTATAAAGAGAAAGGCAAAGTTTAGGAAAACAAATATCAAAAAAACAATTTTAGAAAACAAACATTTTACAATATAACAAAGCCAACATGAATTAGAGAATTAAATGCAGAAAAAAGTCCAGAAATCACAAAGTATTCCACAAAATCAAGAAAGCAAACAAAACAAGAATTTATTAATACAAGTATGAAGCTGAAGCGATCTGTACCATCATAGTAGGCAAGTTGATGCACAATGCAGACCCATGGCTTTGAGACCGACAAAAAGAAAACATGTGGACACTTAACCAACGTGTGAGAGAAAGATACACAAACAAAATGGCTGCTGTCGGGATTGACCCATAAATACCTGGTGAACGTGAAGAGTGCTGATGTTTGACCGAGTTAGTCAACCTGTTGCTTTCATCAGTTTCAGTTTCTCTATTGTTTATTTTTACACTGGCTGTTCTACTCCTGATTGCACTGACTGAACAAATGAAAGTTGTTTTTACATGTTTGACCAAGATTGAGAAGCTTTCGGTGTATTTAAGTGCTCTGTAGTGGCGCAGAGTTGGAAAATACATTTGAAGTTCAGTGCTGTTTAAAGAAAATGTAGCGTTTTAAGTCACTTCAGCTGTTTCTCTGTGTCGAATCAGCCGATACTAAGCCTCAGATATCGGTATCGGTGTTGAAAGTGAAACAAGTGGATGGGTGCGACCCTAGCAGGGAGCAGTTGGCTGCACATCGTGAAGGAAGCTGGTCTTCCTCCATGTGACGGCTTCGATTCACCAGGGCAGGGTCAGAAATGTGTTTTATTTCACTGACAGGTTTACACAGAACTCCGGCGTTTGCCAGAGTAGCTTTCCAAAGCGTCTTCACAGGTCTCCATGATTTACTCGGTGGTCCCAGCTGTTGTACAGGAGACCGCTGCATTCCTCTCACCAGCACCGTCAAATCACTCCCAGACCCGCTAGGTCGTGTTCTACCTCCACCAAGATGGTCGCCCGTGACAACTCCTGCTTTAATTTTCTGTGACAGTTTCCATGAGGCCTCCGCAACCTCTTGCTCCAGCTGTACCCTCCTCCTGTGAAATCTCGACTCCCATCAGAGGATCCCGCCCTTCTGGGTCTCACATGTTCTTGTTCAAAGTTTTGTTGTGGGGGAGTGGCACAGGACTCTCTGAGAGTCAGAGCCGCCCGGCTCCTGATCGTTCTCATGTGGGCCATAAAAACAGTGTGCAGTTTGCTGGCAGCCTGCTACATCTGTAGCTTAAAGACAGACAGGCTTCACTGGATGGGGCCACACCCCAGAATGTCCCCCTGAGCTCCATTTGCAGCTGGAATGATCCTCTGTTGACACGTTGTATGTCATTGTTTACACCAGGAGATGTCGGGCATGCACACAACGCTGGAGGACAGAAAGACGATTCTTTTACTTTCCATCCGTAGCCACAGTAGAACAATTCCATTAAGAGAATTAAGCATGGAGATCTAGGCGTTATTAATTTAGTGCAGTGGCCCATTGCAAAAGGAAAATAACGCAGAAAAAAATGTTAAACAAAAATGTTAAACGACTCAAAAACGCTTGTATTCTTCTTTTTGTCGGCTATGCTACACGCTTGCTGGCTGACTTAGCAACTGACTGACAAAAGCTCCAGTAGTGTATCAGGATTCCAAACCAGAAAAACACGCAAACGCTTTCCACACCAGGAACAGAACATTCGGTCCATTACAGTTTTATGTTTTCAGGCTGGATGTTGAGTTTGCAATTATTAATAAGTGCTTATCTGAACACAGCTGTGGTTGATTAGATAATTTAAACTCCTGCTGTGCTGAGCATCTGTCAGAGAGTCGGTGCGTTGGTTGCCTCATTTATTTATTTTTTATTTTTTGGTTAACTGAACCAAAACACATTGAATTCTGCATAACTGACCGACTTTCCACCTTCCCTATTTTTTTAATTAAAACTTTTTTCTGACTTTGCTTTCTAGTTGTCGCAGTGTTGACAACAAAGCCCTATGTCCCTTTTTCTGTTATATATCACATACATCTAAGATTTAGCACTTTACGTTGACAAATTGACAGATAAAACCAGTGGTGGTCAAAATCTGCTAGCAGTTTTTTGCGTGCAAGATCCCGTCCTCTGGCTCTGTGATGGAAGGCAAAAAACATTGATTTTAGCTGACAAGTTGGCAACACAGCACGCTAAATCTTAAATTTACACTGGATATATGAAAGAGAAAAGGTATCCAGAGCTTTGCTGCTAAATGTCAACACTACAACAACTAGATATTAAGGTCCAAGGTTAACACATTTCACAGGTCACGAAAAAGTTTTGATTAAAAAAAGAAATGAGGAAGGCTAAGCTAGCTTGACTTTGACAACCTGAACGTGTGGAATTCTGTGTGTGTTTTGGTTCAGTAAAAAAAAAAAAGAAGAAGAAGAAGCCGACCCACACACCGACTCTCTGACAGGTCCTCAGCGCAGCAGGAGTTTAAATTATCTAATCAACCACAGCTGCGTTCAGACAACCACTTATTAATAATCACAAAATAAACATCAAGCCTGAAAACATAAAACTGTGATGGACTGAATGTTCTGCTCTTTGTGTGGGATCTTTGGTGTTGAATCCTGATATGCTACTGGAGCTGTTGTCAGCTGTTGCCATGGCAACTGGTCTGTCTGTACCGTAGGTGACGAAAAAGAGCACAAGTGGTTTTGAATTGTTCTTCAACTGTGTATCTTCGTTATTTTTTCCCTTACTGCGCTAAATTAATAATACTTACATCTCCAGGCTTCATCAGTTAATGGAACTGTCCCACTGTGGCAAAGCAGATTTATGGACGGCGTGTAAAATAAGGTTTTTTTGCCCTCCATCATGCACAAAATTTCCAGCTGTAAACGCATTCACTTTCAACGTGTCGACCTTTGACCTCACCTGTCGGCCTTCGAGCTCGCCCGTCGTTTTTATTAGCCCCATTTGCAGGTCAAAGGGGGCGGGGGGGTGGGAGATATTTCACAGGTTCCACCCATATGCAGGACAAACGGCTACGCAGACTCAATAAAAACCCAGTCCCACAGGAAGTGCTCTTTATGAGCAAGAAATTATGGAGGCTCAGCAAAGAGAGCAAGATATTTACTAACTATTAAAAGGTACGGGAGGAAATATGTCTGCCGAGGAAAGAAAGAAAGGAAGCAGAATTCAGAGGCAGCTGAAACGTTTGTTGGAGTGTAGAAAGAGGGCCTGATCAGGAGATAAAGGATGGTCCTTATGTAACCCCTACAGCCTAATGATTCCCATATGGGTCTGATTAGTGGGGCATGCAGGAGACAAAAAACATCTAAGCAGCTTCACAGCAGCTGTATGTGTGTATATATGGAATCTGTTTCTGAGTGTGTGTTGTGGGTGTGGACTTTAGCCCCGCCCACAGCAGAGACCCCAGCCACCGCTCCTCGGTACACCGATTGGAAACAGAGCAGAACAAGAAGCCAGAGGAGATCTGACATCTGACGGCCGTTTCACTGAGTTTCTTGAACCAGTTGAGAGAAAACATGTAAATCTGAAAAGTCTAGCTACAGACAAGGACCTAATCTTCCTCCCTATTCCTTTCACTGCAAAAGCACAAAATATTACCAGGCTTCTAGATTCTGGTGCAAAAAAATAAAATAAGAAACACAAAATTAACTTACAATTACTTTTTCAGCATGTTAAGCCAATAATTCCTCAATATTTATTTTTTAAAAAGTACTAGTTCCACTTAAAACAATAATTTTTTTTTCATGATATTAGTGAAATGTATATATCAAATATGAGCTAAAAGAAATTTGACTTCATAACTTAATGCCTTAAAATTGGACCTCTGTCTCTTTAAGAAGTCCCTGCTTTCTGAAGCTCCGCCTTCATGAAGTCATCACAACATGGCTCCTCTATTAACCCTTTAAACAACGTTTTTACCAGTGTTGCTCTGAGAAGCAGCTCCTGTAATGAGGGAATAACATTATAACTACACAAAGCTCAAAAACGTCGACTGTATATAACACTGCCCCATTAATGAAGACCAAGTCTGTGTAATAGCAAATGCATTTTATTTCAGTGACTCAGAATGACTTCGAGGACAAAGTTAGGCTCACTACATCCCTACAGTCTGACTGGACGAGCAGCCATTCGGATCTGGCACGAAGTCAGACTGCAGCCTGCAAATGGACAAACCTTCTGAGGCAAATAAAAATAAAAAAAAAGAGAAAACTGAAAATATAATATTGCAGAAAACTTCCGGTGTTCTGAGTGAGCTGATTTAGCTCTTTGCTAAATCAGCTCTTTGCTGATTTAGCTAAACAAAACTGAACATTTTTACTGTTCTGCTTCAAGGAACTCATCTGCTGCACATTAACGGACCTTAAAAAGTATAGAATTAAAAATTCAATTTACCCCAGTTTGGAAAAGGTTAAAGTTACCTTAATGGACAATATGTCCCTTGACACATCATTCTTTTTCTTTCTTTCTTTCTTTTTCGGTAGACTCTGAGTGGGTTCAGCTGCTGGTCCTCTGCCTGTGTGTCTGTGCCGTGATTAGGCCCATGTGTGCGCCCTGCCTGGACCGTTGGCCTCCTGGACGTGACTCCATTTCCCAGAGCGCTTCACCGTGAGGCAGAGGCCATTCATCATGTCAGCGAGAAGGCCTTCACATGGAGCGAAACATCAGTGGTACTCCGGCGGACGAGGAGCCTATGACTCAAACCCCACATGGCGCTGGCCTGGCCAGACTTTCCCCAACTAATGAGCCTAACATGTGTTTCTACCTCCGACTGCTTCCATTTTCTCTGTGGAGCCAATAAATCCTAGAAATGTCTCATTTAAGGCCAATGAATACGACTGAGGGACACGTGTTGTCTGACATGGTAAAAATCACATTCCCATGTCGTGGATAATTGAAGTGGAAAGAGAGAGGTTTTTTTTTACGTTTTAGGAAGTGAAAAGTGTGGTAAAGTAACCTTTATTCTGACACAGAGTTGGGTAGTAACTACTTACATTTACTTGGGTAACGTTTTGGAAAAAATTTACTTTTAATCAAGGCAAGTCAAGTTTATATGAATAGCATCAAGTCAGTTCAAAGTGTTTTACAGCCTACAAACATCATACATTAACCAATTATGAAATATGCAACCATGGTAACTGGAAGAGCGGCAGAGTTCTAGGTGTGATTCTCTGCAGGCAGCATATGTTAAACATTTTTTAAACAAATGGTCCCCAAACAACGGACCATTTGTTCCTGGGCCACCGAGAACAATGACCGAGACGATCAAACTGTTAAAGGCAATTTCTTTAAAAATCTGTTCTTGCTGCTGCGCTAGAGAGGCAGCAAATGAAGAGCTGCATGAGCACAAAGCTTCATCAGAGTGGTCCAAACAGAGGCACAAAGGGTCGGGATAGTTAATGTTCGCTGAACTGCATCACGCCGCGAGGACGCCGTTCTGCAAAACATGTAAGACATGCCATATTCACTGCTGATCCATACGATGTCTTAAAGGCAAATTAGCTACTTGAGGTGTCTTAAAGGGGCAGTATCGTGTGTTTTCCAGGCAGTCAAGTAACAACGTTACCTTCAGTTGCTTCAGATGCTATGTATCAAATATTATCTAAAGTAAATTTGACTTTGTAATTTAAAAACTCCTAATCTTTCTGAAACTCCACTTTCAGAAAGTCATCACAACATGACTCCTCTATTAACCCTTTAACAACGTTTTTACCAGCATTGCTCTGAGAAGTAGCTCCTATAATGAGCTCAGCTAATGTGTGTTTGCTAATTGCTGTTAGCTAGTCTGTAGGAGTGGAGAAGGGCTGCTTTGTGAGACAGAAGCTCAGAAGCTTGAAAACTGCAACTGAGAGGAGGAGCTTTGTCCTTGAAGGCGGGGCTAGGTCCAACCAGGGGTTTTGCAAAGCTGAATGGTTGCCATGGAGATTAAGAATTTCTTAAACTTGTACAAAAGAATCAAAGCAGCGCTCCAGGTATGTTTCTGATGAGGGAATAACATTATAACATGATGTGAAGCTAAAAAAAAGAAATCATACTGGTCCTTTAACAACATACCGATAAACTGAGCTGGGAGTGAAACTGAAACCAGTGGAGGGAGAACGGCTGAGCTGCAGTGTAGCAATTGTTTTAGGATGTTCTGTAGTCAAAGAGCAAACTGAGAGAAAGCAGATCTCAGGTTGCAGTGGCAGAGTGTGTGATAGTCCAGGCTGAAGCCTCGGGCATAAAGCGCATTCCTGCACGGCATCGTTTCTGTTTAATGCGGAGGGAAACAATTGCAATTCATCCTGGTTATCGAAGCAGCACACAGCGACTTTGTCCCCTAAATCAATCCCACATGAAGTTCTGTTACTGGAATGCTAATGGGTTCAGCGCACTGAAAGCCTGGGAATGTGTGAGGAAAAGGTTTGGCACGCTGACAAGGGGCTCTCTCAAGGAAAATAACTGGCATTCTTTCAACGCTTCTTGTCATTTATTGCTCATAAGTGGTTTTCTTTTTTTGTCCTAGTAAAAATTCAGCTGAAGAACTTATTATTTTAGGCCCCTGGCTTCGTCGAGATGGAGGAGCAGGAGGAATGTTGACAATTTTAATACGAATACCAAAAAGCACTTTTAACCCCTGGAACTCTGAGGGATCCCGCCTTCAGCACAACAAAGCTTCTCCATTAATGCAGTTTGCAATCGTTGTTATCGGCGTTGAATTGAGAGGCAGCTCCTATAACGAGCTTAACAAATCCGCAGTTCCACCAGGTGTTTGCTAATTTCTGCAGGCTAGTCTAAAGGAGCTGAGTGGGAGTCGTGCTCTCAGAAGCAGAAGCTCAGTAGTAAAGAAACTGACCTTTAGATAGCCATAAGGAGATGGAATTAGTTTTTTGCCCTCTTTTGTCCTCCACTCTCCATGTTGTAGACACACACTGAGCAACGTGCCGTTCTGGTCAGGTGGAATGAATAGATGACGAGTGGAAGAAAAAAAGAAGCTGCAGTCCAACTTAACCCTGGACAGACCTTTAGAAAGTCTGAGGGAAAATATGATGTGAGGACTATTTAAAAAATAAAAATAAATAAAAGGTCTTTCACTGGAGAAATTGTGGGTGGTTTGCAACCTTTGCACAACATTGTTTATTTATTTTTGTTTATTTTTCACCCTTGGACAGAGTTTCTCTGACATTTCTTTATTCAGCATGTGAAAAGAACTTCGTGGAGAGTTTTGGCAGGTCTGTAATGTTTGAATTGTGCATTCCACTGTCAGGCTTTAGAATAACACCGTTCTCATGCAAAAGCTGCTGGTGCAAGTACCGCCCAGTGCAACCGTCACTAATGAGCCAGACCTGCTGGCTCTGGGACATTTACTGCATCCTTTGCAGCTGTAACATCGTCTGCTCTGCTTATCTTTGGTGGAACGTTTGACCTTTCTTCCAGAAGCACAACGGTGAGGTCAGACACTGATGTTGGATGGGAACAGCAATGTGTGCTCTAATTCGTCACACAGGTGTTGTATCGCGTTGATGTCAAGGCTTTGTGTAGATCTGCCACAACCACAGTCAGGTTGCTAAAGGGTGAATAGAGGAGCCATGCTTCAGAAAGAGCAGGAGTTTCTTAAAGAGACAGAGGCCCAATATCAATGTGATAAATTACAAAGTCAAATTTCTTTTAAACCATATTTAATATATACAAATACATCAAAACATTTTTATACATAGATATATGATGTTAAGAAATTTGCTCATTTCTGATTATTGTTATAAATATACCTTCAGTTTTTCTTAGAGCAACTGAAGGTAAAATAGTTTCTTGATTGTGCTATAAAATGGCAATTTGTGCCTGAAAAAAACCGTAATATTTCCCCCTTAATATTTTGGAACAGCCTAGTCAAAGTCATGACTTCAGTGTGATAGAGAATATGTGGAGGGATCTAAACATTAGGGTGATGGGAAGGAGGCCTTAAAGATTATTGTATTGATTATTGAGAAGGGTATAAAATATGGCAATTATTGTTAAACGTACATAAAATTTTATTATCACTATTATCATTACTACAGGTGTTTGGAGTTCTTTTTAAGATAATGTACCCGACAGTATTTGGACGATTGGAAAAGTCTCCAGTTTGTTGTGGCTACCTCAGATGCTAGCACAGTGAAGTAAAACTGCAGCTCTATTCTAATATGTGTGTAGCGCAGACATGGCTCACTCCACGCTCCACTGCATACGAAGCCATACTTACACTCAAACTGCCTTTGCAGAAGGTTCTGGAGTACTCTTTCTGTAAAGATGTTTCCAGAAGAGGATCGATGGTTTGATATTCAAGCACCGAGGCTTCTGAGGAAGTGGGAGGCGTTAACATCCTGTCTGAGGGCACTCTGTCCTCAGGCCCCAGGAAACATGGTGGTTGTCGTTATTTTAGGACAGATTACGGATTTAAAAAAAACAAAAAAACATTTGCTCATGTCTTTCAGCTGGCTCCTGCGCACTGAGCATCTTCGTGTGCGCCAGCCAACACCTCGTGGTGCCAGTTCCCCCTGTGGCTAAAAGCTCTCACAAACACTCAGGACCGAAATATCTCAGACGGCTGAAAACGGCGCTCCATGTAACAGACCGAAACCCGCAGACAGTCTGAAAATGTGGATCTATAGACGGCATGCAAACAGATGAGCCAAAGCAAACGGACTCACGTCTTCAAGGCCTTCCATAGGCCTCAATGGTCGACGCTTGGTCAGCATCGGCGAATCAGACGGCTTACATTTAAGACCTTTACACCTTGATGTTTTTATGAAAAGCTGAGTTTGTACAAGACACCTCCCAAAAAGTTCCACTTTTATCTCGCTAGCATTTTGGGGAATTTTTTTATTCTATGCTTTACTCACACAAAGCGGAAGTCATAAATCTGCCTTAAATTTGATAAATTTAAGAATGCGTTTCTCATTGTAGAGTCAACTATAGAACCGCGAAGCCAAGTGGTTGGTTTTCAACCAGAAGACTGTCAGTTCGATGCCATGTGCTGAAGTGTCCTTCGGCAAGACTTTGAACCAATTCGTTTGATTATTAACATGATAAAGAGTCGGGGGGGGAAAAAAAGAAGTGCAGAGAGCGCAAACCAACAGCTGGACCAGCGGACCAGTTATCGCTTCATCAGAGTGGATGTGAGGAAAATGTAATCCTAATCGGAAACAGGTGCAGTAACATTTTGATGTCGGCCATTTCTCTTTTTAATGTCTTCTGGCTTCTCTTCCAGAACCCAAACGTTCACATCAAACCCGTATGGAGGAAATGGCGAGCGGACGGCGTTTGATGGAATAATAACTGCCAGCTTTTTCCCTGGACATTTCCCGTCTGCAAAACATCCGCTTTCAGTTTTGGGCTGAATTTGTTTGTTTTATTTACTTACATAGCACATTTTCAGCAAATAAGGCAATTCAAGGCTGAAGTGTCTGGTTTCGCCGGGCAGCGCCTTTTCGCTAACAGACTTGGCTGTGATTACAAGAGGAATGAGATACTGTCTGCGCTATAGATGTGACATTATTTGCAACAAAGCTCTCAAAAACCAACACGTACTCCAGAACCGAGCCGGTGCTAAGCTTTCAAGTGTCCCCGCGCTTTGAACGCCGCGTCCCGCCTTTGATACGGATACGCCGCTCCCCATTGAGGAGCGGCGAGGCGGACAGTCTGCGCCGTCCCATTGTTGACATTATCACAGAGACAACAGCAGCAGGATTTCCACAGCATCAGACCCAGAGGGCGCAGAGTCCCTTTAATGCAGACTTTCTCACACCATTACACACATGACCATGAGAAGCTGTTTTAGCAAAGCCTCTGTCAGACAACAGGAACTTCCAAA